TGATACAACAGGAGCATGCCTCTACAAACTTGAATTTACATGATGGATACAAACCCACCATGTAAAGTGCACATACAAGCCTAATGTGCCCTCTGTGCGTTAAGCTAACTGTACACAGGGTGGAGAATTGATCTGTGTGGGTGCAGGAGGTTGGATGCTCAGACTTGCTGCACATGTGGGATAGTCCAACATATTGCAGCTGTAGCAGCTCATTCCTTTTCAACACCAAAATGTCATGCTCCATAGGACCTCCTGTTAGGAATGCTGCAGTTTTAATAGAAATGCAGTAAGTTTGAGAATGGGACACACAAGTATTTCTGGAATTGCAAACACAAGGCCTTACTGGACCTCTGGGATCCCAACTACTGCTGAACGATAAATGTAGGCCAGTGATGTATTTTCCCAAAGCTTTTCTGAAGACTGTGAGAGCAGGCTTTGATCTCAATGAGGATGGGGCTGTGCAACCGCAAAAATAAATGGTTTCTGGCCATGAGAAAATATAAGCTAGTAGAAATGTTGTAGTGACAACAGTGGGGCACAGGGAAGAAAGAAGGTAACTGTGATAGATAAAGAAACCTATGCTGAAGTTTAGGTTGATAGACATGGATATATTTTGATGTCAGAAAAGGAACAACTTTCAGATATCACTATGTGAATTCCAGATGTGACAGTGGACTCTCTTTTCTTTTCAAAGTCCAGATGCTTCCTATGTTCAGTCTTACCTTAGAAATCACCCAAAACCATATAAGAACTCTTTACCTTGTGGAGTGTTAAAACATTTGTCTCACTGGTGCCACAGACAGGTTTTGAGATGTATGTCTGTGTTTCAGTGAGTGAAGAAGCACACACCTCTTCTAAAGAAAAATGTAAGAACATGGCTATAGCTGTAAGATATTTAATTAGTCAATTTTAAAAGTTTAAATTAATTGTGTTTTAAAGATTTAGGTGTTGATTTTGGAAGTATAAAATAATATCTTTGAGAGACCAAAACAAATATATATAACCTTCAGGATCACAGTTATTTCTGTAAAGGGTGATAAATGTGTGTGTGAGTTGTTTGTAAACTCACTAAGTAAATATCTAGGCACACGAACTAAATTAGGATGTTTTCATATGTGACTGTTAAAAAATTGATTATAAGCAATAATTTTAAGACTTCAAATTTAATATATCATTAAGAGAAATGAGCTGGAGGGACAACTTCTGCCAGTGCTGTGGTTTCACACACACAATAAATTGGCATAGTGATTTACTATGAGAGAACAAAAGAAATAGTTTAGGAATTTATTTCGAATTGAAATTTAAATTTTGAAGAACACAGAGATATCTGAAAGGTGAAATTCACAGATTTTTCATGCTTGCAGGTTTTTATAGCCTCTGGTAATGCATGTCCTTACTCTGACATCACATGTATGTGAAAAAAATGGTTGTAATATTTAAAGACGTCTTTTGACAAAGAAAATATTTCCATTTCCAGAGGTGAGATTTAGCTTTAAAGGCTGATGAGCAGGTTCCAGATGTGTTTTTCAATCACTGGGCTTTCCTTTCCTTAAGCATTGACAGAGGGAAGGTTTTATCAAGGTCTTTGTGATATGCTTGTTTACAATGAGTAGACATTAGTGGGGCACATCTAAGTGCATATTGCTAACAGATGACTAAAGAGAGCATATGGCAGGGAAAAGAAATATATATTTGTCCAACCAGTGTGGCTTGTTAACACTCCCACACTCATAAACTGTGTTTACATGTACTTACAATATTTTGCAAATCCTTCTTCTAATCAGCTAAAAATAAAAGCCAAATAATTTTTTTTTCCAATGGTGGAGTTTTAGGCAAAGTTGATTTAGACTTTGCTTTTTAACAAATCAGTTAAACAGTGCAGAAGATTTTTCAAGCAGTTGTTTTGCTTCAGCATGACATCTTTACAGCATTATATGTGTTATTTTCATTTCACAGTGTTATTATTTTTGTAGAACACTTTTTTGTTCTCCCACCTGTCTATTCAAGAGTAATTATTATACAGCCAGGTTACACTACAAGCAATAACACAGATCAGAATGACCTGTGCTAAGTCGTGGTCTAGATAAGGTTACAAAGTTTATTTTGACATTAGGATTTCCCTCTGTTTCTATAGGATGAATCATAGAATCAGAGTTACAACACCTACTAATATACAGTTTGTAAGCAAAGAAGTGTCTGAACTGTTAACCCAATTTCAGTAGAGTGAAAAAGGAGTCTTGTTATTGATTAATTTAGGAGGTAGATGAAGAAATGCTGGGTAAATCTCTACAGCTCTCAACATATGAAGATTCTGATGATTCTGTGATCTGATGATTCACCCACAGTATCACTGTCTTCTTTTAGTGTGACATCTAAATGTGCCAGTCTATTCATATAGCATTATTAGAAAGAAGACAGTCACAACTTAAAGATGGATTTGGACTATTGCATTCTTTTCAGAAGGAAGCATTTATAAAGAAAACTGCACAGAAGAACTGCATTTACTTTTGATTTTCAGTGTATTCCTAGCAAATTTTTATTAAATATTTACATCTGGGGCCAAGTATTGTCCTTCATAAAACAGTTTATTCTTGCAATTTAACTTCATTAAAGTCATAATACTGTTTTAGGATATGATAGACTAGTGCTGTGGGATTGAATTATAAAGAGATTAATTTTAGCTACAGGAGATAATTGACCTTATAATTCCTATCACCTCTAATCCCAGTTCAAATGAACCAGTGTTAAAAGTGGCAATACTCACAATATAGAACAA